CGCAGCAACCAGTTCCCCGAAAATTGGTCAAACAAGTTCGACCAACTTTTTTAAAAAACTGAGGACAGATATCACTTCAACAATCTGTAAGCAGATCAGTTATATGTGCACTCAGATGGATCTGAAGATCATAAACCTAACTGGAACATAGCTATCCCGTTACATTACAGATGTCGAAGTGAGCTCGCAAGACATGAAACTCTTCCAGGGAGATATAGGAGACGAGAGAAGACAGAACACCATCGAACGCCCAACTAACCAATTTAACAGTATCATTCCGGTTCTGCTCCAAAATGAATGGCGCAGAATACTTTATTCGAAGTATTTTATGGTCCCTGTTAAGTACTGAGTCCCACGAAGGTAAGCTGAACGAGGCAGTGCCAGAACTGACACTCCTTTGGTTTTGTAAAATCATCTTGCCTGTAGATTCCAGCAATCCATCTCTAAACCTAGACAAACGATCTACAACTCCCACAGGTTGGTTCCAGAGGCGAATCGGCACACCTATTAAAAGTCCCGGACTGACTGATCATACATGCCACGCTGCTAGATGGACTAAGAATGGAAACTTGGATTATTTACTCATAAGTGATCAGCTCCTGATCAATGATGTTCTTATACATACACCAGTAGGGGTCAGTTACCATAGCGTAAGCATGTTTAAAATAATCTTAAGTGAACATGAACCCTTTCTTCTATACACTAGGGTTAAGCGACGTTATACACTCCTGATAGCCGCGATAATGGTGAGGGCTAACAGTAGACGACCAGATTCATAATGCTGTCCTACAAAATGCGATTCAGGTATATTAAACACCTGAAAAGAGAAGATTGTAGGTTAAGTGAGACTCGGAAAGTATATTGCAAGTAAAAAGGAGAGCGTGACAGAAGTGGCATATATCGCTGAAGGATTACCACCGTAGTTCTTCCTTGTCATTCGGAAAAAAGATGCAATGCTTAGGTTCGAAGCAACTGGTGACACTTCCAAGCTCAGATAGCTGCCAAAATAAAGGTTCATGGCCGAAATCACACCACGTCGTCTGTGCTTCCTAAGGCCTAAATGATGAAGATCTTACCAACCCAAAGATGGCTGGGATCTTTATTGCCAGCTTCATTAACTATGATATGAAAATGGTCAGCCTATAGTCTTGAGATAGTGTGCAGAAGCAGTCACTTCAACATTATGTGACTTGTTCAGGAATTTGCTGGAGTCCCACCATCTCTGAGCCAACGGGAATAAACTTATCAGTCTCAAATCTTCAAAGGAGATAGAAAAGTCCCATTGTGTGATAGACCGGGTGCATTACCACATGTGTGGTCGAAGGTAATAGGAGGACTGGTGAGTGAGCAAATGAGGAAGTACATTGATAAGAACAGAATCATCCATGAATCCCAACATGTGGTTGGGAGAAGCAGATCATGCACATACAATCTATTTATAGCATGGAACATCTGGACAACATTCTGGGACAAAAAAATACCAGCCCATACAATATACCTTGACTGCGCAAACGCTCCCATCATAGCACCTAACATTCTCCTGATTACGAAGGTTGCGCATATGGGCTTCACTGATCCATTCCTATCTTGGCTCGGAAAACTGCCAGTTGTTATCGTTCTCATTTGTCATTCTATCTCGCTTACTATCCCTGTTTCCCCTTCCTTCGGTCCTATCGCACAATCTTCACTATCAGTTAATTAAATTATATATTTATTCGAGTAATTCTGATATTTTAATCATCGAATTTTCGCTAATAACCGATATCTAGCCTTGTAATGTGATAGCTTCTGGTATTCATAAGCCCTGCTGCCTAAATCATGGGAAATACTAATTCATGGATAACTGCCAACTGACTAGTATTAGTGCGATATGGTGGCTAGAAAAATGCGCCGAAAGAACAAGAAGCCAGCATAAGGAAACCGATTGGCAATTACTACTCCGAAATGAAAATATTGTTAATTGGATTTTGGATCAGGTATTGCACATTTCAAGGTTACCTCAAGAACCGCTCAATTTCGTCCCCGTGATATTGCTGTTCTCCATGGTTTAACACTCTCGCTTGCTGTTAAACAAAAAGGTCAGTGCACACATTGGTGCATTTTCGAACTTAAGTAAACCAAATCTTCTCCAGTTCCTGTTCTAGGTGTGCAGTTTACTTCTATCAGTCCAGTTTTCTGGTTCTGATAAAGTGACTTACCAGTCGACTAACTTTATTAATTTTTTTAACATCTGGAAGCTATTCCTCACTTAATAAGTTTGTGTCACTTATAGGGTTGGATGTACTTTGGGAGTTATATACCACAGTGAACTGGCTACTAAGGAATTCACGTGTATATAGTAAATTCGGTTTAGATTTTTGCCATTTCGCGCGGCAACTGTCTGTTTCTTTAAGTCATGAGTTTTAGTATCATTCCGTCATTGTGATTATACGATCTACTTAATTTTAAAGTCAAAGTCTGTATGATTATTCTCAATGCCAGTGATGTTATTATTACATAGATTCAAATATTATTCACTTTGTCAATTACATTTCTTTTTGCTGTTATGGTATGGAAAATTAGGCCTATGAACATTCTTATGAGATAACTAACTAGAAGCAGTGTACAACACATGTTTAAGGACTGCTCAATGTAGTGAGGTCTTATTGCTTTGGCATAATTATTTCTATTTGAGACAATTTTTATTAGTTTCAAATAGTTTAAAAGTTAAAATATAAGCTCGTTTTGTTATAGTCTGATGATTCGTGCTGGAAAATTCCTGTATTTTCACTTCACCCGTTCATCAGCACGATATTTGAGCTCTTTTGAAAGTGCACAAAATCCAGTCAATCTTTATCCGAATAGTGATCCTAATGCTGTTTTCAAGAAACCCATAAAACTAAATATCGTAAGTTCATTTATGTATGTTTGGTGTTTATTATTTTGGTAATGTCTTGTTTTATAGAGTCAAAATGATTTCAGTGGATATATTCCGATCGGTATGATTTGTGTTGTTTGCTTACCTTAACCTTTGTCATTAGATGAACTTATGATATCTTATGGATATTCAAGTGGTCCAGGAGGACAACATGTGAATAAAAGTATGTTTGTTTATGTTTCAGGAAAAATAATTTTGTATTCTGAGTTAACATTGTATAGCATTAGCATTGTCAAGTTATTAATGGGTGGGGGGAAATATCACTAGTTATTGATAAAATGGATCTGTGTTCAAAATAAACAATATGTACGCATATTGTTTTGGCATATTTTTTGGCTAACATTCTGTTCTAGGGAAAACTTTTGAATAACTTAAATCTTTTTCGTACGAGCACGTAGGATTTTCGTTACTCTCCCAGATCCTCCTACAATTTGTGCAGCTGGGAAGTAAAATTCGTCCTTATACCACTGGTAGCACTCGAGATTATCATGACTACAATCAAATCTTTCACTCACTTCTTAACACCTATCCTGTCCCCATGACTGATACTTGTCGTATAGATTTATCACTACGTGTTACAAATGTTAGCAAGTTTAGTTCACAAGATGCTATTACTGGTCTCCTGAAACTGCGTGGCAACCTCCACAACCGATTCAGCAATAAACCGAATCGCTACCAGTCACTATTGGAAAGACTGGATTGGAGACTTACTTATTCTGAAAAATGTCTAGACTGTAACTTTAATCTAGTGTGAGCATGTGTTTAACGGTTTTACTGGTTTTACCTCAAGAAGAAGCTTTGGCTTCAAGATGAAAATGAAGAATATGTTTCGGAGAAAATTAGAGAAGTAGTTAGTTGGTCATCAAAGTAATATCTATGAAGAACTTAAGCTGAAATGCTAAGAATCAGTGGGTTTCTGTGGCTCTTATCGTACTGGTAGATACTCCAAAAACTCATCCCACCGGGTTTCGAACACGCGAAGCCAACTTAAACATAGACTGGTAAAAACTCCACTCAGTAAACGCTATCAGTGGTGTGTATGAAAAAGCAGAGATAGGAAATGCAGCGGCAATATGTAATAGTAGACATCTATGGCGACTTGCGAAGGAGACAGTAATAAAAATCTAGCTATTAGTGAAACTCTCTTGGAAAAAGATGGGACTGTTATTCACTTTCAATCGAGGAGAGTGAACTGATGGACAGATTATTTAGGAAACAATCCAACTGGACTTCTTTTACTTACCGTGTTCAAGCAACTGAAATAGAGAACTGACAGATAACCCAAAAGTTTGTGGTGAACTTCTGTCAGGAATTTCAGTCTCACGTGATGTTCGTCAGGGTAGTCCTGTTTCCTGACTTTATTTAAATTTGTTATGGACATGCTTTTGACGATAGAATTCCCGTCGTTGTATTTTGCAGAGGTTGTTCTACCGAGAGATTCACTCTTAGATTCATGATGCACAAATAATATAATTCTTTTTGGTGAAGACGCTAACAATATGCAAAGTCTTCTGATCAACCTAAGCAACAGTGTAAGGGTGTTTAATGTGTTGTTCTCTCCCTTTAAAATCGAGTGTTGCTTGTGACTGGTCTGCGCCAATGTCTCAACTAACGTAGTGGTTGAATTAGTTGGGTGCATCGACCGATCTACTTATATTGGAAGTTTCATCCACCCTGGAGGTTTTTTGTCTGATTAAACCTCGTCATTAGCTCAGAAAGTTCGACTAAATGATTAGTTATTGCGTAGAGGTTCTCTCCGTTACACTTTACGGTTGCAAAACATAGTCATTAAAGTTTGGGGTTAATTCATACTATTTGACTATAGATGTCTTCGAAACATCATTCTTGCATTTTTGGAGCACTGAGTAAGCAAAACCAGGGCTAGGTTTGGGTCATGTTATCTGTCAAACAACGCACTTCATTTGAGCTATGATAAAAATGAGGTTGTAAACAGATGTAGAAACGAAGGTGTGTATATTAAAAAGAGGGCGAAAACGAATGGAAATTAGTGTACTAAAAGTGAAATAGTAATAATTATGGGAGAACCTGTTTTGTCCAGAAAAATACATCCAGAAAAGATGCAGTTACGTAGGTCCCTCCTATAGTCAGTCAGTCAGTTGCAACGTAGAACTTCGTACGTATGTACATAAGTTCATGTTGCCATACCACATTATCAGCACAGAGACGCAAATGTCAAATCAAATCCCATAGTGATAAAGATAGTAGAGGTATTAATGTTATAATAAAGAAGACTAGGGTTCGAAGATATTATTCAAAAAATATAATTCAGTGAGATAAGATTATAAAGACAAAGGCAGAGGTATTGACGAATCCAGAAGATGAGGATTTGAGAGAGCTCAAAGAGTGGATGCACCTGCGCCATTGCAAACGATTTTGAGCCATGTCGTTCAAGGTCTCTAACCATTGATGACTTTCGTCTCGCGGACCCCAACGAGGTAGTCTACATCTACCAACATGACTCAGTCCACTTGTCAGTGACTTCATGGATTTGTGCCATGTTTTGGTCTGGCCGCCCCTAGATTTCTTCCAACCTACTCCTACACCACAAAACATAGCTCGTCGAGGCAGTCGGTGGTTAGGCATACGTAACACATGTCC